CACACACACACACACACTCTCTCACTCACTCTCTCACACACACACACACACACAGAGTTTTTTAGTATTGTGTTATAATTGTCATATATATCTTTTTTCTTTTTATTAAAAAAAAGTGCTTTATTTTGGTATTCCTGATATTTATTTTAAAAAACATTGAAAATCTTTTTTTTTAACAATGTTTAAAAATACATTTTAAAATAATTTCTTAAAAATAAATGTTTGAAAAAAAGTCAGAGCAGTGAGATAAAAGACACAATTTGGAGTTTTCCTTGCATTTACACCTTACATGAGATTAAGTGCTACATGTCATAAAAATACATTTATATCTATATATTTTTTTACATTTACATTTAGTTATTTATCAGGTTCTTTATCCAGAGCGACGTACAGATGAAGTCAGTTAGCCTAACACAGTACACGTACGCAGAATAAGTATTTTGATTAATGAGAATAAACTGCTGAATTGTTTGCATAATAAGGTCATTTAAATGGAATAAATACAGTGGATAAAATGCTGTAAATTGTCATATTTCTTTTTTGGTTATCATTAATAATAATTACCTTTATAAAAAAACTCTTAACATCCAACACAGAAATGGCAGTATGATAAATGTCACATTATTCATCAGCATGGTTTAGTGCAGTAAAGTGACTAAATGATGTTTGTAAGATAAATGGAGGGAGAATCGTGAGTCAAATATTTCCTGCACAACCATTTGCTAAAATGTCTTTTTCATGAGCAACAAACCATATTATGCTTATTTTATCTTTATATTTATTCATATGTCCTTCCTATATTAATTTTATTCTATGTTCAGAGAGTTGATATTGCTCGTATTCTTATAGCTGTAAATATGTGCTGTTATTTTTCAGATGTGCTCATGCTGCTGAAGTGACGGTCGTTATCATGTAGATTCTGTTCTGTTTCATCAGGAGTTTAAGCTGATGTACGGGATGCTGTTCTCCATCCGCTCCTTCATCAGCAAGATGAGTCCCCTGGACATGTATCCTTCCTCTCATCAGTGTGTGTGTGTGTGTGTGTGTGTGTGAGTCTGAGAGAGTGTGTTTGTGTGTGTGTGAGTGAGTGCGTGTGTCTGAGAGAGGGAGTGAGAGTGGGGCAAAGAATTTGTTAGAAAGCAGACTGGACAAACTAAAAGCTATTTACAGTGGGGCAAAAAAGTATTTAGCCACCAATTGTGCAAGTTCTCCCACTTAAAAAGATGAGAGAGGCCTGTAATTTTCATCATAGGTATACCTCAACTATGAGAGACAAAATGAGGGGAAAAAATCCAGAAAATCACATTGTAGGATTTTTAAAGAATTAATTGGTAAATTCCTCTGTAAAATAAGTATTTGGTCACCTACAAACAAGCAAGATTTCTGGCTCTCACAGACCTGTAACTTCTTCTTTAAGAGGCTCCTCTGTCCTCCACTGGTTACCTGTATTAATGGCATCTGTTTGAACTCGTTATCAGTATAAAAGACATCTGTCCACAACCTCAAACAGTCACACTCCAAACTCCACCATGGCCAAGACCAAAGAGCTGTCAAAGGACACCAGAAACAAAATTGTAGACCTGCACCAGGCTGGGAAGACTGAATCTGCAATAGGTTAGCAGCTTGGTGTGAAGAAATCAACTGTGGGAGCAATTATTAGAAAATGGAAGACATACAAGATCACTGATAATCTCCCTCGATCTGGGGCTCCATGCAAGATCTCACCCCGTGGGGTCAAAATTATCACAAGAACTGTGAGCAAAAATCCCAGAACCACACGGGGGGACCTAGTGAATGACCTGCAGAGAGCTGGGACCAAAGTAACAAAGGCTACCATCAGTAACACACTGCGCTGCCAGGGACTCAAATCCTGCAGTGCCAGATGTGTCCCCCTGCTTAAGCCAGTACATGTCCAGGCCTGTCTGAAGTTTGCTAGAGAGCATTTGGATGATCCAGAAGAGGATTGGGAGAATGTCATATGGTCAGATGAAACCAAAATATAACTTTTTGGTAAAAACTCAACTTGTCGTGTTTGGAGGAGAAAGAATGCTGAGTTGCATCCAAAGAACACCATACCTACTGTGAAGCATGGGGGTGGAAACATCATGCTTTGGGGCTGTTTTTCTGCAAAGGGACCAGGACGACTGATCCGTGTAAACGAAAGCATGAATGGGGCCATGTATCGTGAGATTTTGAGTGAAAACCTCCTTCCATCAGCAAGGGCATTGAAGATGAAACGTGGCTGGGTCTTTCAGCATGACAATGATCCCAAACACACCGCCCGGGCAACGAAGGAGTGGCTTCGTAAGAAGCATTTCAAGGTCCTGGAGTGGCCTAGCCAGTCTCCAGATCTCAACCTCATAGAAAATCTTTGGAGGGAGTTGCAAATCCGTGTTGCCCAGCGACAGCCCAAAACATTACTGCTCTAGAGGAGATCTGGATGGAGGAATGGGCCAAAATACCAGCAACGGTGTGTGAAAACCTTGTGAAGACTTACAGCAAACGTTTGACCTCTGTCATTGCCAACAAAGGGTATATAACAAAGTATTGAGATGAAATTTTGTTATTGACCAAATACTTATTTTCCACCATAATTTGCAAATAAATTCTTTAAAAATCCTACAATGTGATTTTCTGGATTTTTTTTCTCATTTTGTCTCTCATAGTTGAGGTATACATATGATGAAAATTACAGGCCTCTCTCATCTTTTTAAGTGGGAGAACTTGCACAATTGGTGGCTGACTAAATACTTTTTTGCCCCACTGTATATATCCTGGTGGGGACTTAAACCTGACTACACACAGACTCATGGGGACTCGTGTCACGGTGGGGACCTAAATTGTGGTCCCCACAGGTACAAAAGCTTATAAATCATATAGAATTAAGTTTTTGAAAATCTAAAATTGCAGAAAGTCTCCTGTGAGGGGTAGGTTTAGGGGTAGGGTTGGTGTAGGGCAATAGAATATACGGTCTGTACAGTATAAAAACTATTACACCTATGGAGAGTCCCCACAAGGATAGCTGACCAGACGTGTGTGTATGTGTGAGTTTGTGTGTGTGTGTGTGTGTGTGTTCATGTTCTCCTTGACTGAATGCTTCAGGAAAGATGGCTTTCTGGCGTTCCAGACCAGCCGTTATAAGCTGCATTATTATGAAACTCCAACAGGAATCAAACTGGTGATGAACACAGACCTCGGCGTGCCGAACTGCAGAGACACACTGCAGCAGATCTACAGCACTGTAAGACACACACACAGTACTCTAGTACTCTCTGTCTTTACTCTGGTAACTGTCTCTCATTTGCAGCTGTATGTGGAGTACATCGTGAGGAACCCGCTGTGTGTGCTGGGCGAGTCTCTCCAGAGCGATCTGTTCAACAGTAAACTGGACTCTTTCATCAGAGCGCTACCGTTCTTCAGCGTCCGCGCCGCCTGATTACAATAAAACATCAGCTTCTATTTATACTCTGCATCTGCTTCCTCTAGCAGTTCTTTTGTTAAATATCACTTTTCATTATTTGAAGACTCACAGAATTTATCAAAATAAATGATTCCTTTTTTTTTTCAAAAATTGCATACATGTTCTCGCGACTTGAGTTCCTGTTTATTGCTGTCAGTTATTGCTGTTTAAAAACATCAGAGTTTGGAGATTTATTGCAGAATAATGTTCAAAAATGTATTTATGTGATGTTTGATCTAATAAAAAATTTGCAGGATAAGTAACATGTTCAAGTCCAAATGATGAAAGCACTATATAAAGGAGACTTGACTTGTTTTTGAAAACAATGGTTATTTAATTTGTATTTATTTATTACATTTTATTTCTTTTCAACAGTGCCAACTGGGTTTCTAAACTATTTTCTTAAGCAAATCACGATAGCCCATCTTTCTTTTGTGTGAAAAGAGACACTGTCTTGCCTCATGTCCCATCCTTCCACATGCAAAACAAACAACTTCCTTTCCTTCATTTCTCCAAACGATGCCTTGCTATGTGACCAGCATTTCCACATGCATGACAGACAAAGCTTTGATGAGGTCTCTCATAGTCTTAATGTCCAGCAATGGGACCAGTTTTTCCACCTGCATAACAGACAGTAACACCTTCTGAATTTACTCTTGCAAATCTCCTTGGTCTCTGATGGAAACCATTAATTCATCTAGAACTTTCTCCCCTGCCAAAGGCAGCAACTGGATGTTTGGACTCTGCACCTTTTGTTTAACTTTTTGCATTGAAATATTGTGTTATTTTGGTAATGATTTGCTTGTATGGTGAATTTAAATCTACATGATGGTCAACAGCTTCTTGCATGTGTTAATGACTCTGTGCAATTAATGCAGACTTAAACATTAAGTTTTGTTAAGTTGCATTTGGCAAACCACTGTAACGGCTAAATATTTCCCACAACCTGTACGCAAATGCCATAGGATGCTTCCCAGTTTCCACTATTGCCTCAGTTATAGTTCTCAAGTTAACCACATCAATGCCAACAAGTCTAAGTAGAGCTTCTCTCCTTGCCCCTCTGTCTGCTCTTTTGTCACAAACATCCTGTGAGAGAGCACTAGTGAATGATTAGGAAATGCAGTTTATAAGAAGTCAACAAGCATCTGCATCTGACACACTAAATGTTCACTACCTTCTCCAGTTTCGACAAGAACTCTACAGGATCCATGTTATCAGGGTCAAAAGTACCCACTGATGTAACAAGACTTTTAATGTCTATAAAAGACAGCTGTCTAACAGTTCTTTGATCAGTGACCCTGGTGCTGTTGGGAACCTCACGGAGTTATGTTGTCGACTAAAGCTTCCTTGCGGTTATTCTGGTCATATTCAGAATTGTATTGGGCATGTACCAACTGTCTAGTTGATGCTTCAAAAAAGATCTAAATGACTCCCTATCTGATTTGGGCATTGACATTTAAATTGCTCAATCTGTTTATTCTGAATGATCTCTTCAGCCCTGCAATTTCTCAGTGACCTGACACTGTCGTTGACGAGTTTAGCAGCTTGTTTTCCATTTTCATTTCCTCTGAGCTTTTCTTTCCTTGTTTGAGGCAAAAAGAGCTTAAAGTGCAATATCAACTTTTCCCTCTTTGTTTTTAGGCATTTTGGGAGCATTTTTGCTTTGCGCATGAGCAATCCGGACGCGTACACGGACAGCGCGGATACTGACTAGTATTTATACTTCCGAAAGCATACGCTGATGGTAGTGTTCCATACATGCGTAGTAGATCGTCTTGAACAATAAACAAACATGTGAACAAAGAATTTCCCAGAGTTATTGCACATCTGGCTGTGTTTATATTTTATCGACGGATTGTACAGGTTCGAGTAGCAACGGGCTTCTTCACACAGCATGCGCAGTAGCATACTTGTCCGCGTGGTCACAAAAAATGGGAGGCACGCGGATGTCCGTGCAGAGCCTCCGCGCACACTCTCCGATGACGATTACATCACGCATGCCATAGCGGACCCTAGCGGACTCGCGGACGCAGGAAGTATAACACGGGCTTCAAGAACTCCTCATGCTAATACTGAATAAAACAAATTCTCTTCTGTCCTTAAACCTCCTTTTCCTAGGTTTTTTTTACTGACATTTTTTACTTTACGGTCTACTGACAAAAAAGAAAAAATGCTCACCCCGTTTTTTGTACCTTGCCCCTGGGTGGCTCGCCAATGTCAGAAATACTGATGGGGAGGTCGAAGATCTTTTGAAGATGTTTATTGCAGCACAGCAGTGACAAAGTACAGGTGCATCTCAATAAATTAGAATGTCATGGAAAATTCATTTATTTCAGTAATTCAACTCAGCTAAGGAGAAGAAGAACTTGACTGTTGCCCAGTGGTCCAAAGTCCTCTTTTCAGATGAGAGCAAGTTTTGTATTTCATTTGGAAACCGAGGTCCTAGAGTCTGGAGGAAGGGTGGAGAAGCTCATAGCCCAAGTTGCTTGAAGTCCAGTGTTACGTTTCCACAGTCTGTGATGATTTGGGGTGCAATGTCATCTGCTGGTGTTGGTCCATTGTGTTTTTTGAAAGCCAACGTCACTGCACCCGTTTACCAAGATATTTTGGAGCACTTCATGCTTCCTTCTGCTTACCAGCTTTTTGAAGATGCTGATTTCATTTTCCAGCAGGATTTGGCACCTGCCCACACTGCCAAAAGCACCAAAAGCTGGTTCAATGACCATGGTGTTACTGTGCTTGATTGGCCTGCAAACTCGCCTGACCTGAACCCCATAGAGAATCTATGGGGTATTGTCAAGAGGAAGATGAGAGACACCAGACCCAACAATGCAGATGACCTGAAGGCCACTATCAAAGCAACCTGGGCTTCCGTACCACCTCAGCAGTGCCACAGGCTGATTGTCTCCATGCCACGCCGCACTGATGCAGTAATTCATGCAAAAGGAGCCCCTACCAAGTATTGAGTACATGTACAGTAAATGAACATACTTTCCAGAAGGCCAACAATTCACTAAAAATGTTTTTTTTATTGGTCTTATGAAGTATTCTAATTTGTTGAGATAGTGACTTGGTGGGTTTTTGTTAAATGTGAGCCAAAATCATCACAATTAAAAGAACCAAAGCCTTAAACTACTTCAGTCTGTGTGCATTGAATTTATTTAATACACGAGTTTCACAATTTGAGTTGAATTACTGAAATAAATGAACTTTTCCACGACATTCTAATTTATTGAGATGCACCTGTAGTTCCAACCAAACCAGGGGCCTCATGTATAAAACTTCACGTAGATTTCATCCTAAATGTGTGTGTACGTACAAAAGTTTTCAGATTTATAAAGCCATGCGTATGCCAGAACTTGCGAAAAATTCCCTTTGTAATACCCAGTCAGCAGAAGATTGTGCTTACATGCATCTCCACCCCGACTCCTCCCCGAAATAGCCATATATGGAGCTTACAACGCCTAGTTTTAATATACATAACGTCATCTGCATATCATTTCCATGCATATTCCATCCACGTGACACCATGTTTAACGCAGTTAAGGGTACAATACGTTAGGAAAATATGAGATACGTACTATAAATGCTTTTTGAGACATCACATTGCTATTCAAATTATATGTAATTCTGCCTATAAAGTAAACATATATTTTAGAATGTATATTTGAATGGAGATAGGCCTTATATTTTGCAGTGTAAATAACTGCCTGACTCACCGTGTCAGTAACATAAAATAAAATGTGCATATCTTACAGTTTCCTTCAAATTCTATCTTTTAAATATAGTGTTTGTCACAATATTGGGAAGAACATGAAAGGGGTTATCATTAGGCTACTGTCTGTCTGTGCGCGACACCTGTGAACAGAGGTTCTAGAGTACTGTCATCAAACTGTTCAAACCAGCCAATGGACTGTTTGATCAACAAGCGCATCCTTATGTCTGCCGTTACCGTCTATGTTCCAAAGCATCAGATGAATCAAGTTCACATCAGTGATCATTATTGACGCAAAAGTATTTTCTCAGAACATGCGTTTTGCTATTTAGAACACATTTTAAAGCGGAATTATCATGCCCCAAGCAATCCTCGCAGTGATTAAAACATTAAATCGCATACCACGGGAAAATTGTTCGAAAGCAGCACATCCACTGCAAATATTTCTGTT